AAGAAGAAGAAGAAGAAGAAGAAGAAGAAGAAGAAGAAGAAGAAGAAGAAGAATGAACGGCTAAGAAAACACCACTACCAACTTAAAAACAAAGACACACATTCTGATAATTAAGGTAAGAATAATAAATGAGTGTTTCCAGCTGATCTTAACCAAAGGAGGTGTGTAGTTTGCTTCTGTCAGCTGCTACCATACAATGAGAGACACAACACGACGCGGTCGATCAGCTCATTTGCATATTGCCGGTTGGCAGACGCACGATCATGTTTCGTGACCAAAAAGGAACACCGTTCAGAAAACGAAAGTGTTGACGAGGGTGCTGAAACAAGAGTGTTTTTTGCTTACATATTCTTACAGGAGGGGCAGGGGGGTGGGTGGTAGTGAGTCCAATAATTGCTTTGCAAGCCATAACGAAGAGGGTCAAGGGTCAGTCTACACCAAGGCAGAAAAACGGGCATTGGAGAGCGAGCCCGGGGCGTGCGGGAAGGGGGTAACGGGGGGCTGGGGAGGGGTTGACAGTGTGCGCAATGGGGTCACTTGTCCCCGCCCCCTGCCTCTCCAGTCATGAACGACGCGGGAACTGTGAGAGACGACGCGTTGGCCCTTCTGCTGAGTCTCATCGATCGTCGCCTGGTTATTTCTATATATGGGCATAGAAAACCGGAGACCCCCTCAATTTCTTGGAAAACATAGTAGCCGGCTCCAAATAAGGGCATACGTCGGCTTAGTCACTGGCTAAGCTTTTTATTTCCGCCAGCCCTGGCAGCTTATAACCGTCGGTGTCCACTTTCCCAATTTATTCGAGATCTGAGGATCAGAGAAGAACCATCTCTTAGTACCTTGTGCATTTGTGCTTTCAGCCAACCTTCCTAACTCAAAATGTGTGACGACGATGTTGCCGCTCTTGTCGTGGACAATGGCTCCGGTATGTGCAAAGCCGGTTTCGCCGGAGACGATGCCCCAAGGGCCGTCTTTCCCTCCATCGTCGGAAGACCCCGTCACCAGGTAAGAAACGAACTTTTTTCAACTAATTCTTATGGTTCTTAATCTGAACAGTAGGGCCTACAACAATGCATAAAGTCACGACGTGTCCTAAAATTTGTGGGTGGTTGGTGGGCGCTCTTGCTGGTGTACTCTTGACTCTTGTGCTCTTTCCACTTTGATCTTACTTTAGTTCAAGCCTTCACTTGATCAATTGCAGTCTAGATTAGTTGTGAAGCCTAATATACAGGGAATGTATTTTTAAAACTTCTTGACATTTATCTGAAACCAATTGTAATGCTAACGTTTTGGGAGACAAGTACTGTGAAGACATGTAGATCTAGTAGCAGTAGATCAGATTCTAGATAGATCTATCTAGATTAGATCTAGATCTAGATCTAGATCTAGTAGGCAAAACTGATTATAGCAGAAGCAACCCCTCGCCCTCGCCCTCGGCCCTCAATGGTACTTCTGGATATCTAGATTCTAGATCTATTATAAGTGTTCTCCCTCCTGAGGGCAGAATTCAAACATCAACTTGCAATGTGTAAAGTTCAGGAATATCATTCAATCATAGTCAATTTTGAGGTGACGTTAGTTTAGTAGACGTCTATATAACATATAATGCATTGCTTGGATGTTATTGGTATTTGACCCTCAATGATGATAATGTGAAGAAATTGTGCAGCGCTTAACTGTAAAGATATTTTTTTAGGTATTGACAGTCTATACAATTTTTTTCCTCAAGTCTTAGATCTTGGTCTATAGATAGCCCTCAAGTTCGGAACAGGTCGCTTAATGTTCCCTTTCTTTTCCTCTCCCTAGGGTGTGATGGTTGGTATGGGCCAAAAGGACAGCTATGTCGGAGATGAGGCTCAGTCCAAGAGAGGTATCCTCACTCTCAAGTACCCCATTGAGCACGGTATTGTCACCAACTGGGATGACATGGAGAAGATCTGGCATCACACCTTCTACAATGAGCTGCGTGTTGCCCCCGAGGAGCACCCCGTCCTTCTCACAGAGGCTCCCCTCAACCCCAAGGCCAACAGAGAGAAGATGACCCAGATCATGTTCGAAACCTTCAACACACCAGCCATGTACGTCGCCATCCAGGCTGTCCTGTCCCTGTACGCTTCCGGTCGTACCACAGGTATTGTGTTGGACTCTGGTGATGGTGTCACCCACACTGTCCCCATCTACGAGGGTTATGCCCTTCCCCACGCCATCATGAGATTGGATCTCGCTGGCCGTGATCTCACCGACTACCTCATGAAGATCCTGACCGAGAGGGGTTACAGCTTCACCACCACTGCCGAGAGAGAAATCGTCCGTGACATCAAGGAGAAGCTGTGCTATGACGCCCTTGACTTCGAGCAGGAGATGCAGACCGCTGCCTCATCCTCTTCCCTGGAGAAGAGCTACGAGCTTCCCGACGGCCAAGTCATCACCATTGGCAACGAGCGTTTCAGGTGTCCCGAGGCCATGTTCCAGCCATCCTTCCTGGGTATGGAATCTGCTGGTGTCCACGAGACCACCTTCAACTCCATCATGAAGTGCGACGTGGACATCCGTAAGGACCTCTACGCCAACACTGTCCTCTCAGGAGGATCCACCATGTTCCCTGGCATCGCCGACCGCATGCAGAAGGAGATCGTCGCCCTTGCTCCTCCCACAATGAAGATCAAGATCATTGCCCCACCAGAGAGGAAATACTCCGTATGGATCGGTGGCTCCATCCTTGCCTCCCTGTCCACCTTCCAACAGATGTGGATCTCCAAGCAAGAGTACGATGAGTCCGGCCCATCCATTGTCCACAGGAAGTGCTTCTAAATTAAGACCTTAAGACAATCTAAAACTTTAAGATCTGAATATTCATGATGCTGTTATTATCCAATCCTACGCATAAACACTTTCTTGCTTCTCTTACCCAAAGATATTAAGTCTGGAGTCACCAACACCAAGTGCAAGAAATTTCGTAAGATTAGATAATGAAGCCAGAATGCTCAAAGATTTACTTGATCAGTGCAATTTGTGGAGCCAAATGCACAGGGCTTGAAGATCTAAAGCCTCTCCTTCTAAGGTGCTACAGCTCTGATCCAGTTCTGAATATCTCGAACATCTCATTTCATGATTACTGCTTTTGTTTATTACTTACACATGTACATTGTTGTTCAACTGTATTTTTTATACAATGTTAATAAATTGTCAAAAATGAATCTGGTTGTCTGAGTTGCAATGCAAAAATGTTTATCATTTTGTGTCAAATTGTACGTCTTTGTTTATAATGTTGTTGTTTGTCCTGTTGTCTTTCTATCCTGCAAAACTACATACTCTGTATGGGCCCTAAATGTTGAAGACCAGTGACTGGTTCCCTTTCAACACCAACACAAGTTCATCAAGGCATTTTGCTTGTGAAGCTGTCTGGTAAAGATTGTCGTGGTGGAACAGGGTGTAGTCTGGTGTGGTTTCCTTGTTCTTTCCCATCAACTGTCTTGATAATCCCTTCCTCTTCATATACGTTTTATCCTGTTGTTGTGCAAACATTTTACTCCTAGACTTTAAAAAAAAAAAAGGTGAGCTTTCCCATTCTTTTGCTAACTGAAACTGAAAGTGAAAGGCACGGAAATTGGGAAAGGGGGCAGAAATAACTCTTGCCCCTGAAATGATGAACAGGAATTTGAACCCAAATAACACTGGTCAAAGTCGAGTGGAAAGATCCGAGAAATAAAGAGATCACACCCTTGCACTGCACTATAGACTACTACTACTACTACTACTACTAGGTGGATCACACGGTCAACACGCCATTGCATCGTGTGTGTTGTTTCTTTTCAGACTCGTTATGTAGGCCTACATGTATATTGGTAGGCTTCATGTACATCATTTAGTATAGCCCATGAATGAACTTGGGTGTTGTGCAAGTGGGATCTGAACCCAAACCTTTTTGAAGGCGCCCCAATCCTTGACCATGGATTAGAAGATTCCCTTGGCTGAAGATATGTTGACGTGACAGTTAAAAAATTAAAGATCATAGAATCTTTATAATCTGTTGTTAATTTGAACCCTGGACACATTTAGATCACCGGTCTCTCTCCCCCCCCAATGATCCCTTGGTCGTTGGTCTACATTGCAATTTACATTAGCCTACCTCACTCAGTGAAGAGTGATACTGATACGATACTGTACTTGACCAGGAACACACCCACTCGAACTACACAGCCGCCAACGAAAAATTGGACCTCGTACGGTATCTAGTCTAAAACTAAATAGGAGATTTAGAACCTACTCAATAGAGATCTAGAGATCTATAGTAGCCTATGTTTACCTCACATGATCGAACTGTGACACCGTGTTGTATAAAACGCTTCCTGGTTGGGGCCAAGATGACTACATTGTGTGAGTAGCCTACGGCATGAAGAAAATAGGCCTACTTGCAACTGCAACGGATGGGCATCGGAATTTGAAGTTGAAGGCGATAGGGCCTACACAAAATGTAGACTAGATCTACCGGTACAATGTAGGCCTACTTGCTTAAAAACATCATGCACTGAAAAGATAGATCTATGATATAATTGATATTATTTATAGAACATGAAGAAACTCCACGAATATTGGCGGGTGATTTGAACAGTGGATGGACGGTCGGCTAACGTCTAGCTAAGAGTTAGAGTCTAGGTCTTGGCAGTGGGTTCTGTTAAATACGCCCGCCCAACGCAATTGTAGCCTACTTGATAACTTGACATGATGTACAGTGCGCCAACTTGTTTGTATCATAAAAATACCCCCCCCCCCCCGGGACGGTGCCACTGACCAATGAGGAGACATTTCTTTCACTGTAGAATTGTAAATGGACTGGATTCATCATGTCACGCTCATAACTGTGCCTGATCTACAACAGGGAACTGCTGCTTTTTCTTTCCTCATCCTTACTATTGTCATGTCCTCTACTTCTTTTGTATGTTTGTCACTTTCTTGTGACATCGTGACCCGCTATTTCTGGGGTGCCTTGATACATGTAGGCCTAGTAGAAGAAGCAGACCTTGTGCTGTTGAAGCAAGAGAGGTGAGCAGAGTAAGTCTGATTCCCTGTAAAGATATTCTCTGTTGACACCCACCCCTTGGCACTCATAGAAGTCATATTATAGGCCTATGACCTTATGCAGTTGCGAGCGCCGTAAAACCCTCTACTAAAAAAATAAGAATACCCGGTACATCATTCTTGTACATGTGTATAATTTGAGATCTACGGGTTGGTGTCGACGAAGTGGGTGGATAAACAATAATGACAGGCCTATTAACCAACATTATTGTATACATGTAATAATAATGTAGTAGTAGTAGAGCACCAATATGATGCAGATCTAACTTTATAATAAAATAACCGCCTGAGCCTCCTGAAGTACTTCAACAAACACTGAGAAAGGCGTGTCGGGGCAGCTGACTTGATCATTCAGTGTGCGCTTGTAATCCGCAGCTCGCACTGTATGCTTCCCGAGAAGCCAAGAATATTTGAGTAGTGGTCAAGTCAAGGGTCTGTGGGGCAATTATAGCATATTGTGAGGTAGGCCTAATTATAATAGTGGGTAAGGTGCATGAGAGAAGAACATCATATATATTAGGGGCTCTCGTGGACAAGAGATTAAGGTGTTCGCCTCTCATTCAAAGGACCCGGGTTCGAATCTGGGTAGTAGAAAGAAACTGAAACATTTTCTTCTCTTAAATTGTTTCCTTTCACCTCCTTTCCTTCTCTCTAGGAATGTTCTGTCTTCTGCTTTTGTCTCCACTTTCTACCCTCACCCCCTCACCTTCTTTGCCCTCACCTCAGGGCTCTTGACTCTTTCTGCAGCCTTCCTACTGCTCCTTCTTACTGCTGACTTTCAGCCGCACCCCTGATCTTGTGGTTGGAAAGATATATACCTACCTTGCCTTCTCGGACAAGGGCGAGAAATCTCTGAGGTCCCGTGTGCAAGTTGCGCACATTGAAAATCCCTTGATGGTCTGAGTAAAATCGAAATATTATAAGAGTACCGTTAGGCTTCGGCCACCCCGCGGGCAGAATTCAAAATTTCCCACCAACTGAAAAGTGTTTATTGTGTACCGCGCGCTCATTTATGACCTTTATGCAGTTGCGAGCGCCGTGAAAACACTTAGGCCTAC